GTGCTGGTAGCTTTAGTATGGTCTTGTTTGTGAACATTTGGGTAAATGCCCAAAAGTGGGATTGCTGAGTCATAGGGGAGCTCTATGTGGATTCTTTTGAGGAACCTCCATACTGCTTTCCAAAGTGGTTGAAAAAGTTTATGCTCTCACCAACAATGCAGTAAGGTTCCCTTCTTTCCATACCCCCTCCAGCATCTGTTGTTATTAGAGTTCTTGATTATAGCCATTCTAACTGGGGTGAGGAGAATCTCAATGTTGTTTTGATTTGCATTTTTGTTGTTGTTGTTGATGGTCATGGGGCTTGAACTCTGGGCCTGGGCGCTGTCCCTCAGCTCTTCAGCTCAAGGCTAGCATTCTACCACTTGAGCCGCAGCGCCACTTCTGGTTTTCTGGTGGCTTATTGGAGATAAGAGTCCCATGAACTTTCTTCCCAGGCTGGCTTTGAACCAAGATCCTCAGATCTCAGCCTCCTGAGTAGCTAGGATTACAGGTGTGAGCCATCAGCGCCCGGCTGATTTGCATTTTTTTATGGCTAGAGAGGTTGACCATTTCTTCACGTGTCTATTGACCATTCTTATTTCCACTTCAGAGAAGTTGAGAGATCTATTTCACATGGTTAGAATGCTATCCGGTAGAAGGAAGTGAGAGGCAACGATTTGTCTTTGGCAACTCAAGGGTGTTAAGAAATTTGCATGGTGTCAGGTTCTCTTCAGTTCAAGTCTACATACTATTTGCAAAGAGGCCAAGTGTGTATGTGGAGAGGGTAGGGGGCTGGAATCATGTCCCATCCCAGAGGAACTGGTCCTCTAGAGCTTCATCTTTTTTTTTTTTTTTGTTGGTTGTGGGGCCTGAACTCTGGGCTGGGTCCTGTCCCTCATCTCTTCAGCTCAAGGCTAGTGCTCTACCACTTGAGCCACAGCACCACTTCTGACTTTTTCTGCTTATGTGGTGGTAAGGAATCAAACCCAGGGCCTAATGCATGCTAGGCAAGCACTATACCACTGAGCCACCTTCCCAGCCCCGAGCTGTATCTTTTATAACCCAGATCTCAGCTACTCTTCATTCCTAATGCCTGTGAACCTCCAAACCAAAGGAAAATGATCTATTGTTATTCTCATATACACAACAGGTCTATCTTTTCCCTAAAAACTGAGCGTGTGTGTGTGTGTGTGTGTGTGTGTGTGCTGGTACTGGGGCTTGAAGTCAGTGCCTGGCTGTCCCTTAGCTTTTTCTCTCAAGGCTACCACTCTACCACTTGAACCATATATCCACTTTTGCTTTTATGGTGATTAATTTGAAGATTAGTCTTATAGACTTTCCTGCCTAGGCTGGCTTTGAACCATAAATGACTCTCAGCCTTCTGAATAGGTAGGTGCCATTTTTAAAAAAATTATTATTGTTTTTCTTGTCAGTTGTAGGGCTCAAACTCTGGACCTAGGAGGTGTCTTTGAGCTTTTTGCTCAAGGCTAGCATTCTACCACTTTGAGCCACAGTGATACTTTTCGTTTTCTGATGGTTAATCGGATTTCAGGGTCTCACAGACTTTCTAGCCTGGACTGGCTTTGAAGAGTGATTCTCGGTTCTCAGCTAGGATTACAGGCTTGTTTTGTGTTTTGGCTCTCTTAGAGATTGCAGGATGTCACCTAGTGGCCCTTATTACTGAGATGGAGGTCTTGTTAACATTTTGTTCCAGCTGGCCTGGAACTCTGATTTGCTGGGTCTCTGCTTTCAAGTAACTGGGATTACAGGTGAGAATAACCACACCTGGCTGTGAAGAATGAGCATTCTGACAAGCTTGCAGAATGGGTAGGAAAAGGGATCTAAGTAGATTAAGATGGCTTAAGCATTGGTTAGGTTGTGTGCACCTAAAATGTTCAATGCTGGGATGTACCCTTCAGGCTTTATTGTTAGGATTATTATTTGAGATGGGTCTCATGTTGCCCTGGGTGGTCTCAAACTATTAGTCTCAAGATTGGTCCTCTCACCTACTGATTCCTAGTATTAGAGACTACACACACATTTCAACATGCCTGGCTTGTCAACTTTAAAAATTTTGTTTGGGAGCCTGGGAAGGTGGCTCAGTGGTAGAGCGCTTGCCTTGCATGCATGAGGCCCTGGGTTCGATTCCTTAGCACCACATAAGCAAAAAGAAAAAATGCAGGAAGTGGTGCTGTGGCTCAAGTGGTAGAGCGCTAGCCTTGAACTGAAGAGCTGAGAGACAGTGCCCAGGCCCAGAGTTCAGGCCCCACGACTAGACCCTCCCCCCAAAAAATAAAAATAAAAATTTTGTTTGGGGGCTGGGAATGTGGCTTAGTGGTAGAGTGCTTGCCTAGCATGCATGAAACCCTGGGTTGGTCTTCAGCACCGCACAAACAGAAAAAGCCATAAGTGGTGTTGTGGCTCAAGTGGTAGAATGCTAGCCTTGAGCAAAAAGAAGCTCAGGGTCATTGCCCAGGCCCTGAGTTCAAGCCCAAGGACTGGCCAAAAAAAAATCGTCAGCTTGTTGATATCAGAGTTTTATTTCTTAAAATTATGTTCTAATCAGGCATCGCTGGCTTCATCTGCAATCTTAGCTACTTGGGAGGCTGAGATTGTTGAGATCTTGGTTTGTGGCCATCTTGGGCAGCAAAAGAAAATATTTCAAGACACCTTCTCAATGAAGATCCAGATATGATAGCTTGCCATTCATCCCAGCAATTAGAGGTCTAACATAAATGACTCTCATCTGAACATCTAGGCACGAAGCTAGCTCAATCTCAAAAACTAGCGAAAAATGAGGCTTCCAACTCAAACCTGAGGACAAAATTCAAACCTGAGTACCACCAAAAGAAAAGGAAAGGTGTTTCTTATAATTCATAATGTATAATAATTCCATAAATAAAATGGACAAACCTCAAAATGCCTGCTCTAAGATGAACCCTTGTTGGTTTCTATAGGCATTCACTTACAGAGTTTAACACTAGGGCATGTGAAGCTCCCTTTGACCCCAGCAAGACTGCTTTGCCTGGAGCATTGCCAGCCCCCTTCAAGGGGCTCTTTCCTAAATTCTGGTTCCTAATTCTAGCTGCTTTCTGCATGTTCCACAGGCAGGAAACTTGGCTAACAAGGCCCACAAAATCCAGCTCTCCCTGAGCCGCACTGATTTTTTTTTAATTGTGAAAATACCGTACCCCACTGACTTTTTGTCTATATCACATCCAGTGCCATCTATGCTCTCCCTTCCCCTCCCTCTAAGGACAAACACCCACACTGAGGAATTTGTCCAATTCCTAGAATTGGATTGGTTCTTACCAAATAAGGCTTTCCACAGAAATACTTCTCCCTTTTTTATGTTCCCCATTTTCAAACCCCTCCCCCCCCAAAAAAATCGGGTTAGTTCCTTCTGTTCTCTTTGAGATTACCTGTCCTATCACTCATCTGACCTGTTATATATATTACCTTAGTACCAGGTGCTTTTTTTCTGTTTCCTTTTTTTTTTAATCTTTACAGATTTCATATATATATGAAATTAATCAACTTAGGTGTTTCCCACCCAACTGTAAGTGGCTCAGGTGATAAACTCTTTCTCTTTTAGTGCTGGGGATTAAACTCAGGGCCTTTGAACTCAGGGCCTTGATCCACAATCCGGGCAATAATCTGTTGAATGAGTAAGTGAATGAATGTCTTCCTCATTTGGCAAGCTTCATGAGCAAGCAGTACATAGTAGAACATTTTAGAATCTGGTAAGTACTATTTGAAATGAACATCCCCAATAACTGCACAGACTTACATAACAGGAGTTCTTTAGCTGACTTTTGGGCTTTGGGGACCAACACATTAGTAGTAGTATACTATGCTTGCGGCTAAGAACACGTGTTTTTTTTACTTTCTCAACCTCAAGAAACATTGTTTGGATGTGCTAATGGTCCCAGAGGAAGACAGCAGCCATAACAAGCAAATATTAGGTTGAGAACAGACGTACAGTAACAACACAGGCACAGAGTACAAATTTGCCTAAGGAAGCTGAAAATTAGCAGCTTGCATTAATACCTAAGATATCTTTGACTTCCTGTCCTCCTCTTGTGAGCAGAAACTTGTATTCTCAAGGGAGTGTTTGCATAAAAACCTCCCACAAGAAAAAGAGTTGCTAATGGTTAAGGCTTTGCATAGTGGGGAAGTTTTTGGTTTCTAAAATCCCATATAAGAAGTACCTTTTTTTGGGGGGGGGGTCCGGTCGTGGGCCTGAACTCTGGGCCTGGGCGCTGTCCCTCAGCTCTTCAGCTCAAGGCTAGCGCTCTACCACTTGAGCCACTTCCAGCTTTTTTTTTTTTGCTTA